AGAGAGAGAGAGAGAGAGAGAGAGAGAAAGAGACATACAGATAAGCAGACAGAAAGAGACACTCACACGCAAAAGTGAGAAGGGGAAGGAGATGCTCGTGTCTAATTATTTATTCTTCAGTAAGTAGCCACAACCAAATTAATGTTGATAATATCGTGTCACAAACAACTGACCTTGACCTTGCTGTGTCCCAGGACCTGTCGTACAAAGAGCGCCACTGGCACGAGTTCTGCTTCAAGTGCTGCAGCTGCGAACAGTCTCTGGTGGACCAGCCTTTCGCTTCCAAGAACGAGAAAATCTACTGCTCCAACTGCCATGACAACAACTTTGCGGCCAGGTGTGACGGCTGCAGTGAACCTTTCCGCGGAGGTAGGCTGTAGTAATAATTATCGTTGCTTGGCTTTTTTTTACCTATTTTTTATTTGAGCCTTTCCCCTGAAGGAAGGCGGTACCGTTTGCCTTTTTAAATTTTAGCCTTGTCTGTAACAACTCGATTCCTCTTTATGGGTTGTTGGTGGGTGGGTGCTCTGGATTAGCATGCTTTTCCTTTCATATCAAACATCTGCTGTCCTTATCGTTCCTCCTTTTTATTTTTTTGTATGTTCTTTTCTTGTAACACCTCTAATCTTCAGCGCTTATACATGTATAACCTATTTCTGTTGCAAATGCCGTAAGATGTTTTTTTTCTTTCTTTTTTTTTTTTTTTACTAAAACTAGGGAGATCTTCTTTCCACTTTAATGTTTGGTCTCTAAAAGGAGAAAATCTAAATGATAGTTACACAGATCCGTGAAAAGAGGGGACAGACAAACTCAAATACTCCACACACAATATGGGGTGGAAACTGGGAACACATTTGAATCCTGGAAAGAAACAGATGTGTTCACCTGACAGATGATGTCGCTACTTTCAGGAGGTGGAGGTGAAGATGGAGGAAGAGGAGAAAGAAGGGGGAGGAGCAGGAGGAGGAGAAAGAAGAAGAAAGAGGAAGAGGAGCATGAGGAGAAAGAGGAGGAGGAGGAATCTCTAAGACAACTTGTAAGTCTTGTTGAAATACAGTGCAGTCAGAGTTTTCAAAGATGGCCAGCCGTTGTCGAGGTAAACATTGGTTATCTTAGACAGGTGGATGTCTTGGACAGTATCATTATAAAAGAAAAAAAACAAAAGAGGAGAAGTCAACTGCTCTCTACCTTATGTACCTGACAATGTAGGGAGAGAGTACCTAAGCAAGTAAGGAAGGAAGGAAGGAAGGAAGGAAGGAAGGAAGGAAGGAAGGAAGGAAGGAAGGAAAGAAGGAAGGAAGGAAGAAAGGAAGGAAGGAAGGAAAGAAGTACAGGTAAGGAAGGAAGTAAGGTGAAAGTGGGAAATGGCCGTTCGTACTGGTGATTGTCTTTGATGAGAGCTGGTGAGAGCTGGTTCGACTGTCAATATAATGAACAAGTTTCACCGAGGATGTCACAGTTATCGAGGAAAGAGGTCAAACTATTGCTTAATGATCTAACTGCATGTTCATGTCAGCTATCAAAGCACTGAATTTTCATCTTCTGGGAATTTATGTTCACATCGCAGTTTACATGTTATGAGTCATTCTCTCCCCCCCAAAAAAAACCTCAACAACAACCCCCAGCTAAAAACAACAACAACCCCCCCCCCCTAAAAAGCAAAGAAAAAAAAACAACCTCCCTCCCCTCAGATTATTCATCTTAAATAACATATTATATTTAATTAACTGGAGCTCATGTAAAATGGTTGTGTTTGTGTAGGTGAAGACAATGAATATAGGACTTAAAATGATTTCTAGTGTTTAAAGCTTTGGTGGCAAAGCGATCATAAGACCTATTCAATTCATGACGTGTTTGAATTGCAAACATTATTTTCCCTTCTCTATCAGTGCGTGATTTTCATTGGTTTATAATATGTAAAATTGATATCATATTGTTATGTTCCCTTGTTTTCCTTCTGGAGATATGACAAGATTGAATTGTGAATTGGGAATTAGTTTTTATACAGTACTCACACTTGCTCAATATGTGAACTGGTTTAAAAGTACACAATACATTGTTGTTATTGATTCAGGAAAGTACCCTATACGTAATACCTGTTTTTGACATGTGGATGTTTCCAGGTATGAAGAAATTTGAGTACAAGGGCAAGCAGTGGCATGATGAGTGCTTCACCTGCACCGAGTGCAGCCAGCCTATCGGAAACAAGAGCTTCATTCCTCGAGATGAGCGCGTAGTCTGTGTGCAGTGCTACGAGAATAACTACGCCCAGAGGTGTTCCAAGTGTAGTGATGTAAGTCCAGTGGCCATTGTACTGTTGAAAATATTTGGTCGCTTTTAAGCACAAGGGGGCTATCCCGAAAAAAGCTGTTTTGAGAAGACTGAAGGTAAAGTTTTTGGACCCTTGAAATCTATCTATAAAAGACCAGGAGGGTTTTCTCTATAACCAAACAAATATACACACCAACGAAACCAAACTTCCCCTATGTGTAGCGCAATGCCCACCTTTGGTGCAGGTCAAGATTTCTGGAAACCCCCGAAATCTGGGTTAGCCCGCTTGTCCTTAAAAGCGACCATTTAAGATGGCCACGTGGGTGCTTGGCATTTGCTCTGTTGTGGTTTGCTCCTTCTTAATTTCTCATCAAACGTCTAGTCTATCGTCCTTATCTCCCCTCTTTCTTTTTTTGTGTGTGTTACTCTCTTGTAACCCCTCTAATCTTTGGCACTTATATGACCTTATTGTGTTGCAAGTGTGGTAAAACTCTTACTAAAAAAAAAAGAAAAAAGATGGCCACCCATAGTCGAGGAGAAAAGTGGCCATGTTAGACTGGTTGCCATTTTACACAGTGTCAGAACAATGTAAAAAAAAGACAAGGTCAGAAATCGGAGGTGAGCATTGGTAAAGGTAGTTGTTTCATACAGGTGACCTTTAAAGCAGGTTCTACTGTATTTAAATTCCTGTTGTATGCAGCATTCCTGTTATAGCTCTGACTTTGGCTGACTTTGATAGAAATGTGTTGTTGAAATTACGAATGAAAGAGTCAGTGAGCAATGAAGGCAAACGGGTGACACAGGGGTGATGTGTTTGTAAAGTAGTCATGGTGACGTCACATCTTTTGCCCCTCTGCAACTCCTTGACCCTGCAGCCCCTATTTTCAAATTTTGCTGATGTCATGAAAATATGAAACCCTTCAAAATTTACACTTCATCCCTTTTCAAATATCATGTACACACATGTGTCTAATAAAATCCACCCCCCCAACTTCTCCTAAGATACTGGTATGCCACTGTAGATTATATTTGTGTGTGTATATATATCTTCAGAAAGTGAGGATGCACATTCTCACTTTTTCAAAAACTCAAATTATCCCTTTCCTCCCCCTCATCCTCCTCCCTTTCCTCCCCCTCCTCCTCCTCCTCCCCCTCC